AATGGCCTTGAAAGTTTCATTGTGTTGGCTGTTGCTGGAGCCATCTGCATATGTCTGTCCTAACAGGTTTGCTTTGTGAGTATTATTTAAGGCTGTTTCTGTTTTATAGGTTAATAAAGGTATATTTTGTCTTACTTTTTTACCGGAGATTCCTGATATTTTCCCAGTTAACATTGATGGTTAGATTTACGTAAAGTTTACGTCATTATGGTTAGATTTTGGTTAGCGTCCAATAATGGTAAAATTCTTTGGTTAAATTTACGTTACTTTTACGTCATAATGGTTATGGTTACTTTTACGTCAGAAAATGACGTAAATGTAACGTAAACTTTATGACGGATTACTAACCAATTTTTTTCGCTTTAAATACTTCTTGATTAAATAAAATTACAAGTGTGTGCACATTCTAACAATTGATAAATAGTTGGAATTCAGACATAATAATTATATATGTATTATTGGTTATAATTCTAACGTTATTCTAACGTAAATTTTACATCAGGTTTCTAACCGTTAGTTTACGGTTAGTTTTCTGACGTAAATCTAACGTTAGTTTTCTAACGTTAATATAACGTTAGTTTTCTAACGTTAATATAACGTTACTTTTATGTCATAATTTTAACCGTTAATTTAACGTTAGTTTTCTAACGTAAATCTAACGTTAGTTTTCTAACGTAAATCTAACGTTAATTTTCTAACATAAATCTAACGTTAATTTTCTAACATAAATCTAATGTTAGTTTTCTAACATAAACCTGATATTAGTTGTATAAAGTAAAACAAATGTCAGTTTAATTTCATGATACTAACAATTAAATTACTGTCATTTTTTATCCTTAGTTTTCTTACGTAAACAAATGTCAGTTTAATAACATGAGCACCATTTGTAATGAACCGACTCGATGAAGAAGGCTAACCATATCCCACAGGAGAATACTGGTGTGGACTAGAATAAGCAGACGCCAAAGACTGTCATTCAATTTGGGCTTTTTGCATATTTTGTCGAACATAATTGATTAAAATATACAGTAAAACCAGATAAGACTGAACTTTATTCAGTTTATATACATTCATGTTATATTATTATATGCCTTGCTACCCATTTTTGTCCATTTCCAGGGGCCCAACAATAGAAATGAAATTGGGTTTAACGTCCTACTGTTCTGCTCCGAACTGGGCTAATGAAGACGGGCATGTGCCATACAGTGTCCTATGAGGGACATTTTGCCCGTACAGCGGCACTACGACCTACTCTTATATCGAATTCCAACTGTCAAGGGATCTTTTACGTGCACACTAATGTGACAACAGGACCTCAGTTTTTCATCGGATCCGAACAACTAGACAGGTGTCCTTATCAGGCCCTACGTCCCGCATCACTTTCTTGGCCAATGCAGGGATCGAACCTTTTAACTCCTTTAAGAATTTCAGCCTGTAAGCGACACATAAAGAGAAAAAGGAATGAATGAATGACCTACTCTCATTTCGAATTCCAGCTGTCAAGGTTTCGTTTACATGCACATGCAACATGAGCACAAGATCTTGATTTTTTGTCCTATTTGAAGGACTAGACACTGTCCTACATTACAAACAAGGGGAAAATTCTATACCAGGATCGGACCCCTCGTTAGTTAGCCAGTGTGTTAACTTGAAAGTTAACCATTAGCCATTCAACCACGCCAGTGTGCTACAAGGGAGTTTTATCCGGACAGCTGTGCTAAGGCCTACTCATATATTGAGTTCCAACTGTCAGGGGATCTTTAACGTGCATGCCGATGTGTACATGGGACCTCAGTTTTTCGTCCCATCCGAAAGACTAGAAACCTGTGCAGTGCACAAACACATTCTCCTTATTATTCCTGTCTGTGACTACAGTAACTTGATATTGTACACATTGGAGTGCACGTAAACGATCCCTTGGTAGTTGGAATTCGATATAAGAGTATTCTGTTGTGCCGCTGCCCGGGCAAAATTTCCCTCATAGCACACTGTATGGTGTAGGCCCATCTTCATTAGCCCGGATTAGGAGCAGAACAGTAGGATGTTAAACCCCATTTCATTTCATTTTGTGTACATGGGACCTCAGATTTTCGTCCCATCCGAACGACTAGACAGCTGTCCTTGTCAGCAACACTGCCAAGCAGAAACCACATCGGAAAATCCTGATGAACACTAGCCAGTCAGTGGCTCCGGGGTCATAAATGTAGTGCCACAAAAAAAAAAATTGCAGTTCACAAACACATTCTCCTTACTATTTGAGTCTGTGACTACAGCAACTTGAAAGTAGTCCAATTAATAGCCTTTTTTATGTGGTTTTGCAATCGAAATCAAACCTGAGAGGGAAAACAAATAATGATAATACATGAAAAAGTGTTGCACCATCCAAAGGGAGAGTGGGAATGAAATGGGGTTTAACATTCACTCGACACAAACTAGGTTATTTCAGGACTAACCGTAGGGGTCTTTAGCAGTGGGAGGAAACCGGAGCACCCAGAGAAAATCCACGGGGTTGGACAGACGTCCCTACTGCTTGTCATATTCAACCCGGGAATGGAACCCATGCCAGTTGACTCAATGACATACCTTATGATACAACACGCATGCGCTAAATCGATGGACACACTAGCCGAATCGTTCGGCTGAATGGGTGGACACACTAGCTGAATGCTTCGCCCGATTCAACCTGTCGGTTGCATCACCTTTCACGTCACATGATTAAACATGGCGGCGTCTGTGTCTTTAATCTATCATGTGACTTCTCGATATGAGTGGTGATTGGCTAATGAATTCTATATTCGGCCGAATGCTTCGGCGAAGCGAACACACCAGGCGAATATAATTGATTCGGGCGAATTATTCGGCCGAATGACAGTGGACACCGAATCATTCGGCTAGTGTGTCCACCGCCTAACCATTTGTCCATCCGACCCTCCGCCAGTGCGTTACCAGGGAGTTTTGCCTGGACAGGAGTGCTAAGGCCTACTCTTATATTGAATTCCAACTGCAAGGGGATCTTTAAGTGCATGCCAATGTGTACATGGGACCTCAGAGAGAATGAAATGGCATTTATCATCAACTCATCACAAACTAGGTCATTTCTGGACTAACATATATTATAGTTTAATTTATTTTATTTCAATAATTCGCGTGCCCGTAGGGGTCTTTAGCAGTGGGAGGAAACTGGAGGACCCAGAGAAACCCATGAAGTTTGACAGGCGACCTTACTCCTTGTCATGTACAACCAGGAAATCGAAACCACGCCAGTTGACTCAATCACACCTTATGATACAACGCGCACACGCTAACCATTTGGCCATCCAACCTCGCGCCAGTGTGCTACAAGGGAGTTTTGTTTGGACAGCAGTGCTCAGGCCTACTCTTATATTGAATTCCAACTGCCAGGGGATCTTTTATGTACATGCCAATGTGTACATAAGACCTCAGTTTTTCGTCCCATCCAAACGACTAGACAGCTGTCCTTGTCAAGCCCTCCGTCCTGCACCACTGACAAGCGGAAACCACGTCGGAAAATTCTGATGAGCTTTCTCAGGCAACACTGTGAGCGAACCTGTGACCTCCAAGCAAGCCAGCCAGTGTCTTATTCACTTAGCCACTGTGGCAAAGGGGTCATAAATATAATTCCACAAAAAAACCTGTGCAGTTCACAAACACATTCTCCTTACTATTCGAGTCTCTGTGACTACAACAACTACTCGAAAGTAGTGCGAACTGTAAATTTTATTTTGTTAAACCATCATAAGAAAAGAAACATATTGAATATGCTTGTCAATATTCTTTCTCTGTCAGAGCAGCTAAAAGGTGAAATTGTCTTCCAAAAACTCTTTGTGAGTCCTCTTCCATTCAAAACTTAAAAAAAAATTATTTCAAAAATGGTGTTGAGAGAGAGAGAGAGAAATGGGGTTTAACGAGAGAGAGAGAGAGAGAGAGAGAGAGAGAGAGAAATGGGTTTAACGTCCACTTGACACAAACTAGGTCATTCGGGACTAACATATAGTTTAATTTTATTTCAATAATTTGCTTGCACGTAGGGGTCTTTGGCAGTGGGAGGACCCGGAGAAAACCCATGAGGTTGGACAGGCGACCCTACTCCTTGTCACGTATAACCGGGGATTCGAAACCACGCCAGTTGACTAAATGACAGGTCGTCACCATTCGGCCATCCAACCCCCAAAAATGGTGTTGAAATGGGTGTTTTTGTGAATGCGCTTAGAAATACTCATGTGTAATGAAGTGCTATAATTGAACCATAATAATAATATAGTAGGCCTAGTGGACTCCTCCGTCTCATTTTGGTTGAATGTTTGGAAATTTGATGGCTAATTAGATTTAGGACACTCTGGCATATTTTCTAGGCTTGGCTTCATGTGGCCTGTTTTCCATGCATACAAGAATTAACCAATTAGAAGTTAAACAAAATAAAATCTGCTCCAAAATATTACAATACTTTTTTTTATTTCATTGCCCAAAACACCTTTACAGCCTGAATGTTAATTTTGGGGCAGCGTTTAACTGCATGGGTGGTAATTGAATTTATTAAATTGACTAACTTTTGCACAATAAGTAAATATAAATTATCTTAATACCCCAACTCAGACAAGTTAGTGGCCTTTCAAACCAATTTAAATTCGGTCAAAATTTGTAGAAATTTAGATATTATTTTATTGCATGTGTGTACAATTTGTTATGTGTCTAAGCTCTGTTACCACAAAAAATATATTTAATTTAGTCCTTATAGTAGATTCTATCACACGTTTGAAAGTTGTCCAACGGTCGAATAAATATGTTGTAGTTTGACCTAGATAAATATAAGACTGGGAAAATAAATATAAAAAAAATTCCGACATCTTAAAAGTAGATACCTATATTCGCAATGGAAATATTATTTTAAAAATCGGGATTATTTAATTTGATACAACTGAATAAAATGGCTCTAGTCGATCTATTTAAAAAAACATCAACCAATTATACGAGTTTGGCTACTGCCAGTGCAGTACTGCATCCGTCGTGATCCGAATAAAGCTGTACGTATGTATATTATATCATGTGCATGCTTAAAAAAAGGCCTCTGAATCATATAATAATTTCTTCAATTTTACTATTCATAAGCCTAAAATATTACGTAGTTATAGACTATATATAAAATATTGAAGTGCGTAGGCCTACAGTTGATAGTCGCATAGACTCCGTTATCTACGTATATGATATATGCCGCCATTTTGGGTCAAGGTCAAGATAAATTACAGTCAATACAAATGAATAACTACATCGATAGATTATTAAATGTAATTTCTATTAACTGATTTCAATGTTAGGTGGTCTATGTTTGTTGTCTTTTTCAGTATATTGTCCACATTGATTAAACTATCATTATTAAAATCATTTTGATTCTTCTATATTTGTACGTACTTTTTTACAACTCTGAACCCGGAAGCGAGGTATTCTGGGAAGGTTATTTTAAAGATGGCGGGCGTTTTGGAATTTATTCGTGGAGTGCATGAGAAATGTTCAATATACAGCTACTTGGATTACACAAACAGAGAAAGATAGATTATACCAGTTAAATTGAGAGGTTTTATTTGAAAGTAAGTTTTTTCTTATATCCCCGACTGCTGATATACACGTATACTGAGACTACAAATTCGGCGATATGAAAAGAACTTACAATACAATGTAATAGTAGTAAAAATACTAATAAATACTATTCACACAGATGTAAAATTATTTCTGTCCTTATTTTTCTAATTTTTCACCGTAATTCTTACTTCTGTAAGACGCCAGGTTACGAAACAGTTTGCTTTTGTGAAAAAAAAAAATTACTATCAGGTTATTACTGTACACATTTTCATTTTTACTTAATTAATAATTACTTAGACATTTTGGACTAAAAAAAAATATGTCCTCACTACTCAACGCTGCAGGCTTTGGCACATGACATTTTTACTTTCATAGCATTGGCAACACTTTAATCTCAATCTTCTCTGATTCTAAATAGCAGAAATATAGCAAATTCTTCTGTAACACTGTAATCAACCAGAACGTAATTCCAAACTTGACGTCTCCCCCTTGGACCCCGGCTGCTATTGCTTTTCATCAAAAATCTACCTGCTGTGCATAACTAAAGTTGACTTTTGAGCGCACGACAGAGAGTCTGGAGAGGGCCAACGCCAGTCTCTGCAGGCTGGGGCCAATGTACAGTCTTTCGAATGGGACTGATAATTTAAACCTAATTTCATTTTGATTTTGGAGTATAAAAGTTGCTTTCATTGAATTTTTTTTTTTATTTACAGATCCTATATTTGAGCACCATTCATGGCAGTCATGTCGAGGAAGTTATAAAAAGGTTGATAAGGGCTTTGTATATGGAAGCTAGATGACATTACTACTTATCATACACAACTATTTGTCACATACCGACTTGGGATTGAAACCAAGCGACTGAACTCAATAACACTCCTCAATAACACTCGTCTATGAAACCACCCAGATGGCAAAGAAATAAAGACTTTTTAATTATGTACCTATATATGTATCTATGGTAGCACAAAATTCACCAGAATGTAGGCCAAAGCTTTACTTTACAAGCAGTAGGCTTAAAATATTTTCCGTCTGATCTTGTAAGAGTCAATTGTTTATGAATAGTTTGCCTCAAGCAGATATCCTGTCACTGTGTCACAGTATCATATAACCGCTCTTTGGCTTGAACTGAGTTGTATCAGTGAGTTGAAAATCTACTGCAGCCAGTATATTAGATTCAAAATTCTAACGAGCTTTCGTCTAACTTCTAACTTCTGTTCATGTATTTTTTAACTTCTATTCATGTAATTTCTAACTTCTATTCATGTATTTTGTTAAATTAAGACAATGTATAATCCAACTTCTTTATTTGTTCAGTGTAAATTTTAATTCTATTCCATCTTATTTCTATTATTTAGACGAAAAACGTCTTCTTAATTTTTACACTTCTGCCTAGCAACCATCATTATGAAGTCATTTGGTGTCGCCACTGCGTGCTCATTTTTGGTGATTGCGCACCTGGTCGGGACCATTGTGTTGATATAAACGACACATTCTTGATAAAGACGAGAGTGTCCTCGTCGAAACGTTGCTTTATATTAAACTCAGTAAGAGTTATCTATAAAATTGTACCCTGTGTTAATGTAGACCAACAGTATATAAATATTAATTGGCTCAACTTGTCTTAAAAAAAATGAACAAATGCTGTTTAGCTTGTATTTGAAATAGAAAATGAAATATAATGGGGTTTAACATCCTACTATTCTACTCCGAACTTGGCTAATACGCCATACAGTGTGCTACGAAGGAAACTTTGCCCGGTCAGCGGCACTACGGAACGATTAGACAGCTGTACTTGTTAGGCCCTCCATCCTGCATCACTGACAAGGAGGAACCATGCCGGAAAATCTGGATGAACTTTCTTGACCAATGCAGGGATCGAACACCCTACAGCTAGGCTAGTGAGCCAGCGTCTTACCGACCGTATTTGAAATCGTATTTGCAAACCATACATAGATATCACGTTCAATGTTGTTTGTGGGGTTGGACGGTCGAAAGGTTAGCACGTGCGCGCTGTACCATAAGGTATGTCATTGAGTCAACTGGTGTGGTTTCGATTCCCCGGTTGTACGTGACAAGGAATAGGGTCGCCTTTCCAACCTAGTGGGTTTTCTCCGGGTCCTCCGGTTTCCTCCCATTGCTAAACACCCCTACGCGCAAGCGAATTATTGAAATAAAATTGAACCATGTTAATACCGAACCTACATGTAGTTTGTGTTGAGTGGACGTTTAACCCCATCAGACTCTCTCTCTCTCGCTCTCTCTCTCGAAGTTGTTTTCAATTTTAGCACTCCACCAAACCATTCAACTGGACTAAGAGCGAGTCGTTTGTATCAACAGAATGGTCCCGATCAGGTGCTCAATCGCCAAATTGAGCGAACGGTGGCGACACCAAACGACGTCATAATGATGGTTGCTAGGTAGAAATCAAAATTCTAAATTTGTTTACCATTCATGCTTAACATGTAAAGTGACTAGACATTTTTCGCCTTAATAATAGAAATAAGATGAAACAATTAAAATTTACACTGAACAAAAAAAGAAGTTGAATTATACATTGTCTTAATTTAGAAATTACATGAATGGAAGTCAGAAATTACAAGAGTAGAAGTAAGAAATTAGACGATAGCATGTTAGAATTTTGAATCTAATATACCGCCATAGTATACGGGGAAACTTTTTAAACCCTTACAAATTCTTCAAATTTTTGTGATAGATCAATAATAGCAAAAATCTGTGTTAAAATTATATTTGTAATGTGTTTAACAAATTCTATCACACATGTAATATTGGTGTAATTAAGTATATACCTTATTTCAATACTGGGGTATTATATCGTTGCCCTGACTGTTTGTTTGTCCAAATTAGTTTGTGATTGTGAAGGTGACAGTTTTTTATACGCTAACATTTTCATGTAGACGTATATTTTTGTAGCCCCTGTCCGTCCGAACGTCCATCGGTCCGTCCACAATTGTTTGTGGGACCGTAACTTCATGGATTATGGCCCCTGATTGTACTGAAAGTCATGTTTTTAGCTTGTGGACCCTATAGAGGTCAAAATTTTTATATGCCCACATTTTCATGTGTACGTATATTGTGGTAGCCCCGGTCCGTCCGGACGTCTGTACACAATTGTTTGTGGACACTCTACAGGTCACAATTCTTATCCGATTTTGACGAAACTTGAAATATAGGTTTATCTCCAAAAGATCTTGGTTGCTTTCGATATTGGCATGTATCTGACTGTAACTTCTTGGATTATGGTCCCTGATTGTACGAAAAATCAAGTTTTTAGCTTGTGGACCCTATAGAGGTCACAATTTTTATACGCCCACATTTTCATGTGGACGTATATTGTCGTAGCCCTTGTCCGTCTGGACGTCCATCCGTTTTCAGCTTGTGGTCCCTATAGAGGTCACAATTTTTATACGCCCACATTTTCATGTGGACGTATATTGTCGTAGCCCCTGTCCGTCCAGACGTCCATCCGTTTTTAGCTTGTGGTCCCTGTAGAGGTCACAATTTTTATTCGATTTATAAAAAAAAAACATGTGTATATATAACCATTACACACTAAGATCTTGGTTCCTTTTCATAATCGCGCATATCCGAACGTAACTTCCTCGATTATGGCTCCTGATTGTTCGAAAAATCGCATAATCAAGGTTGAATTCGAATTTAGGGAAAATCAAAATGAAACTGCCTGACAAAATGTGTAAAAGTATGCAATATGAAGGCATTGGATACTCAAGATTTTAACTGGCCTGCAATTTAAAAATTTAATTAAAAAATGGGAAAGTGAGGCCAAGTCTCGAATATACCTGTGCCCTCATTACCACAATGCACACATCATGTCGAAACTAGAAACTGTGATAACTTGGCTCAGAATGAAGTAATTTGAATGAAATTTTCATTTTACATGTATATTATTTATTTTTGAACAATCATAGCAAGAATGGTCAGCTCTTTATCTAAATCTTACAGAAAGTATCGTTAATGTATCTTTTTCAAATTTTGTCCCCACCCCCGCAGATTGGCTGCAAAACCTGTGAACACTGCCCTATAATTTATTCACATTTGTTTCAAAGTTGGTGTGAAGCATAGATATTCAGTATTCCACAAATTTCCTTTCCAGTATTATCCCACCTAGTTCGAAAACCTTTAGCAAACGTGATAGAGGCCGTAGGGTTTTTTTTGTTTTTTTTTATCAAATTTGGTCAACGTCACAGTTTTCCTTTCTGATATACTGCTGAATGTGTTGGCGTATTTCCACATTTTCAAAGTTTTTCTCGAAGACCGTTTCCTAAATTGTCACCAACTTAATGCTGTGGATAAACTGTTACAATTTAAATGTCTACTTTTGTATTTTATTACATTATATATGTATTTTTTGAATAAAGTATAGATACTTGTAGTATATTTTGTTGAATAATTATGTAAGTTGTACTGGTTTTTTGGCGTTTGGTTGCAATTACATTTAGAATTCTGAATGGTTATTGATAAATACATGTATAGAGAGAAATGGGGATTAACTTCCACTCGAATCACACTAGGTCATTTTGGGACTAACATGTGGTTTAGTTTTATTTCAATATGTGACAAGGAGTAGGGTCGCCTGTCCAATCTAACATAAGTGACGTAAACTTTACGCAAAATTTACGTTAGATTTACGTCAGAAAATGACGTAAACTTTACGTTAGATTTACGTCAGAAAATGACGTAAATGTAACGTAAAAATGACGTAAACTTTACGTTAGATTAACGTCATTTCCTGACGTAAAATTATCGTTAAAAAGATGAGCAAAATGATGGTAAACTGACTGACCATTTTTACGTAAATGTAACGTAAATTTAACATCATATTGTTATGTGGGTTGTTCCATACTGTTTTTATTTTTGTTTCATCATTTAGGGAGCTACAAAAGTTTTGCCAGTTTTCTTCTTTGGCCCGTTTGATTTCTGTTTCTGCGGACAGTTTAGCCTCATGATAGTCAGTTTTGGTTTCCTCATTCGGCCTACGTTTGTATTTTCGTAGCGCCGATTTTCGGGTGTTGACTAGAGTTTGAAGATTTTCTGACCACCAAGGTTTGGGGGATTTCCTATTGGTTTCTTTCGTTCGGGGGATAGCTTGCTCTGCTGAGCCAATTATTGCCTTAGTTAGATTGTTTGAAAAGGTATCGATATTATCATGTCTTATTGACTCAAAGTCCCAGCCATTGCACAGATCTTTGTATAGTTTCCAGTTTGCTTTGCTCATTTTCCATTTAGCCTGGCATTTGATGTTTTCTGAGTTGGCGGTGTAGGCTATGGCGGTATGAATTGCTATGTGATCGCTGCCTAAGGTTTCGTCTCCTACTCCCCAATTGCAATGGGGGAATAGTTTTGTTGAGACTAGTGTCAGATCTATGTGGGTTCCTTTTTTACCCGACGAAAGTTGGCTCGCTATTATTTTCATTGAGTAGTAGAAGGCTGCTGCCTTCTATGTACTCGTACAGTTCCTTCCCGTCCGTGTCGCTCGCTGGTGAGCCCCATGCCGTATGATGGCAGTTGAAGTCCCCACATATGATTAGGTTGTCTCCCGGAATTTGTTTGAAGATCTTATCGTAGTCTTTGTTTTTTGTTTTAGTAACTGGTGGGTTGTAGACATTTACTATGCTTAAAGATTGGTTATTTCCTATAGCAATGTTAATCGCCATTAACTCTAATTTACTTGTTTGATTTAATTTTAATCTGCTGAATGGGATGTTGTTTTTAACATAGATGGCCAGACCGGTCATGCCTCGCCATTGTGTAACTGTCTAAATTGATATCATTGTTTTTGGGAGTTAACCGTGTCTCTTGTATACATAGTATGTCTGGGTTGTTTTGATAGACATATTGTTTGAGTTCTATCAAACGAGACCGCAGCCCATTGACGTTAAGTTGAAAAATATTAATTG